TTGAGATACGAGGCTGGGAGCTGGTGCAGGGGGTAAATGAGGGTGCTGATTATACTTGGGACCGAATCGAATAATTATTCGACCATTCGAATAAATCATTCGAATGCGAATGATTCGAAAAGTCGAATATTCGAACATTTGAGATTTCGAATAAAATTCGAAAGTCGAATATTCGTGATTTTCAGTTTTCGAATATATTCGGTAGTCGAATATTCGAAAATCTTCATTTTCAAATATTATTCGAAAGTCGAATATTCGAAAATCTTGAATTTCGAATATTATTCGATAGTCGAATATTCGAGGGTCATTCATTCGATCATTCGATGTCCATCAAATATTCGAATATTCGTCGAGCACCGAATATTCGGAAATTCGATAAGAATTGGCTATTCGAAAATTCGATAAGCACCGAATATTCGAGAATTCGATATGCATAGCGTATACGGGATGTTTCAAAAGTATCTACACACCGTTTGATCGCTAATACCTCTCAAAGTCTTTTGCCAATTTCTGGGTAACATCCAGTAGGGATGGCTTCAGCTTATGAATACAGCACAAAACGAATCACCCATGTTTTTCTTATAGTGATTATCACAGTAGGAACTGGATGTTACCCAGAAATTGGCAAAAGACTTTGAGAGGTATTAGCGATCCAGCTTATAGACCAAATGCCAAATAAGACATCCAAAAAAAATGTCCCCAAAAAAGTTCTAAAATCTGTGCAGCAGTGTTTTTACGTATGCTGATTTTACTAAGCACGAGTTTTCAAGCTTTTCGAATGGCAATCACATTTTCGAAAGGCGTTGCAAAACACTTGTTACGGTGTATCGTTTGTTCCCCAGCAAATTTCCCATAGGTACCACGTCATGTCACTGCCTTTCGCACTTTTGAACGTGTTAACCTTGGGCAGTTCCGTTGAAATCTCAGGGAAACATGTCAAAAAGAGCGAAAGGCAGCGTCGCACCACGTACGCACGCTGGCTCACATGGGAACTTTTCTTAAGGACACAGGATACCTGGCGTAAGTTTTGAAAAAAAAACAAATAAACTGCCAAATAACTGCCGCAGTTTCTAAGTCATTGGTTTTTCTTTGCTCAACTTTAGCTGAATTTGGAAAAATCAACATATTTTGGGAAGAGTTGAAAAAAAAGAGTTTTTTGCAAAACAATGACTTCTTTCTCAACCTCGGGTCAGCCTTTCAAAGTTTAAAAAAACCTTCATAGCTTTGAAGTGACTCATGGTTCAGAATTACGACAAATTTCTAAGAAATGTAACTTCGATGTTCCATAAATCAATTGCTGCTAAAACTGATAAAAAATAAGCAGTCAGAAAGAGGAGGAGCTTTATCAATTGATAGCTGAGTGGTCATATTTACGACGTTTGGATATATGGATTGAGATGATCACTCCAAAAAAAAGGCGGTAAAGTCTTCGAAAGGTTGGGAGAAACAGCTGACAATTACGTAAAGGTGCCTTAATTTCACGCGTATAAGGCGCACTTTTTCGATTTTTCAAGCGAGCCGCTCAACCGCTTCACTGTAGTCCGGAAAGAGATCCTTATACCGCACGATTCTCTTAAGCAATATACAGCATGTTATAAAAAAAGAAAAAAAGTAAAAAGAAGCTTAATGCAAATATACTGCCCCTAATGATGATGCCGTGATGACTGTAAGTCAATGAGTATGCAATTTTAACGTGGAAACTCGCCCTAGACTGATGCGCCGCAGCTAGGAGTAGCATATTTTGATTTAGCGTTTGAAGTTGATACAGGACATATAAGTTTCGTTCTTTTAGGCAGAGCTAAGTTAAGTAGCATCCCTTGTCAGTTGCAAGTTTCAGATAATTACGGAATAAATTTGTGATGTGTATATCAGATATCAGATAAAGCTAATAAAAATTATAGATTCATATGTATCATCTAATTCCAGAATTGTTAGATTAACTAGGCATAACTATATCAGAAAAATACAGCTTATAATCCTTTCTAATATCACCTTACACATATTTACATCAACAATGTTTGGATTAAGTTCATTAAACAAGCCCTGGCATATTATATCAAAAAGCGTTCGAAGATCGCACCTCCCACATTAGGAAAACGATCTGAACCCAGAGGAAAAAGACGAGACGATTTATCTATCTAAAAGCCACTGCATGGCGAAGGCGCAGAAGAACTTTTGATTGAGCGGGCGCGAACGCGGCGCGCGCGTACCCTCACCGTTGTAAATCCTGCGCCTCATGCGCTCTGCGGCTAATAAAGCCGTGTTCGCGCCAAAGAGTATTGCGCCTTCGTCAAGCAGCAGCCTATACATGAGGAAGCTATGTCTATGCCAATTCTGTATCTATGTATCGCTGTTGTCATTCCATCTATTTGTTGCGTTAGTTTTTCTTTCCGTTAATTGGTGCACCCTTATGTGTACTACATAAATAAACATGTATAAAAAATATACACATATATTAGCATGAATAAATAATATTATGTCCAATGTCCGTCTTCGAAAATAAACTAATATTGAGTACTTCTTAGTACGACTATTTTCAAGTGGGTTTTAGTGAGTAGCTGGCATCCCAGATTTCACTCCGTTCTGAAGCCAGTCCATCGTGCTTGGCCTCTCCTGTAGCGAAATTTACCCTTCTTTTGATTGTAACTTTTTGGGTTCGCTTCCTACCATCCTTACCATATCTTGATGACCAGCAGATTAGAATGAGCTTTACCGCTCATCCTTCATGACTATGGGGTATGTGCACAAACATACAAATTTTCTGCTTTATATATATATATATATAGATAGATAGATAATTGGTTTCTTATTTGGTGAATACAGCTAATTACAAAGAGTCAAGTGCTCGGGTTGCGCAAGAGTACTCTTTTCTAGAAAAGTTTTGCAGCATGAATTTGGTTTCGCAAGAGTTAATGGGATACCGTTGGAGAGAGAACCTCGAAGCTGTCCTCAATTTCTGTATAAACCCAGTCCCCTAGTCTGAGAAATTGCACAAAAATTGCCTCCAGCTACATTTAGAGTATATTTTTGTAAAGATAAGCACTCATCCCAGCGAAGGCCTTACCTGAGAATCTGCTGGCAACTCCCTTGTTTCTCTTCGATTTCGGATCAACACATCGATATTTTCCTAAACATATGGGAACTTTGAGGCCCGTGTGCACATACATCCACGCTGGGGAGGGAAGGGGATGTGAGAGGGGACGCATCATATCCCGCTACTCTACGTATCTTTCTTCTTCCTTTCTTATCTTGCCTATGAATGCTCTCATACCACTATACCTGCTCATAATGGATGCCAGGTTACTGGCGTGTTTGGTTAGATTTTCACTATTTTGTGCGATCCCTTGGGGATCCTTGGGTATCCCCATGGGCATTTTCGATGCCATTTATCTCCCTGGAAACTCAATGAGATGCTGTAGAATTGTACTGAGGATATAATATGGCGCTGCTAAAGACAATTATTTTAATAATAAGTGAAATCTCAGGATATCGAAATCTTCGGCTCGCGAGCCAGGGATCATCCAAAATTTTCAATCCTCATATTCCATTTCTTTTGTCGAAAGTATGCTTAGCAGTGCCCCAGTATATCCTCAGTACAATTTTACAGCTTTTTCACTGACTTATAAATCACTTTGAATTTAAATCACTTGTGTGATCCCCAGAGTCCCCTGGGGATCACACAAATCGACAAAACAATCTTGTATGGAAGTAACCTGGCATCCATTATGCGCAGGTAATGTATGAAAAACTTTATAAGCAAGATAGAGAAAGGAGAAGAAAGATGCGTAGAGCAGGGAGATATGACGGATCCTCTCTCAGATCCCCTCGCCCCACCTTTTTAAAATCAACAAACCCGTCCATCTTCAGCCTCATTTCCATGTTGACGTGGGTTTGTTGTATTCTGTACGAATTCCAGCGGGAACGATGAGAAAGGAAACTAAAAACGAGACCCAATGTAATATCTGTGAATTTTTCTCAGAATTTGGATGTCATGTAAAAGAGGGGTAAAAAATCATTATATGCCGTGCTGAAGATCGTGGTGCAGTTATACATACAATACCTAACATTTGAAGCTACAGCTCCTTTTCAATAATTGATGACGAATTGTTCCACACTATTTTTTAAGGTCATGAAAACACAGGTATGTAAATGTAGAGGTTCACCTTCCGGAGTGGATGTAGGCCATATTGCCGCTTCACAAATAGCCAGATTTTTTCCCTCCGCAAAAGCTTTCTTGTATGCTGACATTTACAAATAAGATGTATAACCAGGTTCAAGCAAGAGGTGTGGCACACGATCGCTGGTTACAACACCCCCCTCTTATTGCTGTCTCAATAAGATCCCCTGAACTATATACATTAGATAGCATCACTTGAAGGCCCTTTCAAACATAACGGGCAACACATCCATAATTAGCATGTCAATTAACCCCTGTAGACAATGTTTAAGCGATGAAGTTTCAAGATACTGGATCACCTAAGTGAAATCGTCATCTTCCAGCATGATTGACCTTGTTTCAAAGTGAAGTAGCTGGCTGTTTTTGCACTCAAGACAAAGCACTACTCTTTCTTTGGTTAATTCAGTTTTCTCGCTTCAAAAGACCTCCTAACTTTGGAATTAGAAACCAACCAAAATCTTATTTTTCCTGTTTTTCGCTTTAAATGCCTGTGCTTTCACCAAATATTACTCACAAGGGAAGTCATTTAACTTAGGTCGGGCTTTTGAAATGAGACACATATATTTAGAATCAGCTCGGAACGCTGATTCCAAATATGCTATCCTTAGCTGCGAAGCGTTTCTCTGAAGCGAGTTATGAGCTTTTTTAGTATGTGTCATTGAATACAATTGAATATGGAAAGAAGGTCTTTGGATGAAAATCTGCCCAAAAAGTGGTGGAAAATCAAAATAACATCAAATTGAGTCATTTGGGTTTGATAGGGTATAATATGCATTTGAACCACTACCTAGATGATGATACCGTAGCATGCCTTAGTCGGTCAACACGCAAAATTTGCTCAGGAAAAAGCTCATAACTCGCTTCAGAGTAACGCAGCTAAGAAAAGCAGATTTGAAATCAGCATTCCAAGCTGATTCCAACCATATGTGTCTCATTTCAAAAGCCCGACCTAAGTTAAGTGACTTCCCTTGTCAGAGCTAAGAAGACGAATCAGGCTCAAATCACTCTTATAAAGTCTACGAGGTCTAGGCTATCGTTTCGTAGAAATAGTGTTCGCTAAAAGTTTTGCTGATATAGTTAATGGGGTGTGGCACCCTTAAAAAGCCGTGGCTCAGCTTTTTAGGGGTGCCACATCCCATTAACTTACCTTCAAACAGATCAAATAGCTGCCTTTTTTATATCGTTGTTACTGCTTAACCTTCTTCTTTACATAGCAGGAATTTAATATGAAAACGTTCCCTTAAGAGCAAGATATCGTTTTTCCTTACCTATGCAAACGTAAAATATTGGCAAAATACTGCGAAATTATTGGGATACAGTAATATGCTAAGTCGCTTATTACGTGAATCGCAAGGGAAGACGACGAGGATGTATATATTCGATAGCCTAAGCCTCGTAATCTACATTTAAGTGAATTGAGCCTGATTGGTCTTCTCTAGCCTGAGATATGGAAAATGAAATATGAAAGAAACGAGAATTTGGCTTGCTCTTAATTCATTAATTTGGAGGTCATTTGAAGTAGGATTCCTAAAGTGAACGAATAAATAATATCTTTCACTGATTTGTTCAGCTTGCACAAGATTGGTATATCTCTTTATTCGACCGACGTTTCGGCATGGTCGATCGTGAATAAATAATAGTTTTTTGTTAAACGTTAAAAGAAGTAGTTTACTTACCTTCGAAACAAAGTAACATGTTTGAAAACGACCATCTCACTTAGGTGGTCCTGTATTTGGAAGAAACCTCAGAATTCGCTGAAACTTGGACCACAGGGGGTATTTTACTTGCTGATTACGAAACGATGCTCTTAGGCCTCGGACATACCTCATGCGATTTCAGTCGCGACGCGATTTGGCAATATTCCAAACGTCCATAACTCATCGTACGGGGTTTCCGAATGTACGGAAGAGGGGGCATTTTATCAACCTACGAAAGTTATACATGCTGTACATTTGGGGTCTACCAGTATTGAATTTGACATATGGCAAATTGCCAGATCACGTAGCGACTGAAATCGCGTGAGGTATGCCCCTTGCCTTATGCTTCATAGATCTTTGATTATGCTTACTGTACGTTGCGATAATGGGTCAAACACCAATGTGCTAGTATTTTGTATGACGGGGCCTATTTGACATTGTTAACACATTTCGGACCGGTACTGCACATGGTGCAGCACGCTGCTTTAAGGGCCGGGCATACTTCAGGCGATTTTAGTCGCGACGCGATTTGGCAATTCGCCAGAAGTCTTCAGACCCTACACTAGCAAACTGCACATGCACAATGTGTATAACTTACGTTGACTGATAAAATGTCCCATCTTCTGTACATTTAAAATGTGCTTACAGTGAGTTATGGACGGTTGGAATACTGCCAAATCGCGTCGCGACTGAAATCGCGTGAAATAAGCCCGGCCCTTTAAAGGATCTTTCTGGCGTTCACAGGAGGTTTCCTTTTAGTCCAAAGTTGTTAAGTCAAAGATCTAAGCTCCTACTTTTCAAATGACTCTGTAGAGCTGTGCCTCGCATGTTTGTTTAGAAGATATGAGGACAAATCGAACAACAGTTGCAAAGAAGTGCGGCAACGCAAACGACGCGTGCGACGTCCCACCTTTCTTTGCTTCGATTTCAAAGAGGAAAACCCTAGTTTTAATAATGATGTGTACCGTGTACAACATAGATACTTTTGAATACTTTTTGAAACTGAGTTCTTACTCCTGTCTTTCAAGAAAGCATAAAAGTCCCTCTCAAGCGACAAAATTCAAACACTTCGAATTCACTCAAAATTTTGGGTATGGAGCTTATCTGACATGCTGACTACAGATGCGGCCCACAGGCTGCGAAATAAGGTCCCTTTGTAGGCTATCGGCTGAAAGTACGCTCTTTTCCGCCGCGCGCGATTTCGCGGTCCGAAACATGTTAACAAATATCCTGTTATGCAAACAGCGGACGCCTTGATAACGCCCCCCCCCCCTCCCTGATTCCTCAATACGACCCCCAGGTGTGGCATGCCATACCCCACGCTTGACCCTGTGTATAACTTTTCTTTCCGAAAGCTTGGCCATTTTTCCTCTGCCAAACTATAAGCGCAAATTTAATCATCTATTGAATTAGCTGTCCATCTTATAAAGGATTAAGATTGTTCATATTATATCCAAGCGAAGCACTCCTTGTCGCGTCAACTTCTTCAAACTTCTGACCAAGCGTTTGAACTACTATTTTAGCAAGCTAAAGATAGCAGATCTAAAAAAACAGGCAATCCCTGACCGCAAAACCTCTGCATGGAACATTTAGGGAAGCTATGCGCACGTTTTACATAAAGGGTCGGGCATAAAGGGCAGCGATCCATCGCTTCGCGAGCTCTGCCAAAGGACAAGTGTTACACGTGGGTAGGATCCCCGTTAATATGTGCTAGCTGTCCGGCGCGACGCATCGCTGACCGTTTTTTGCTAGGCCATACCCAACCGAGCGAAATCGCCTCGATCGTCGCTCATCTCAGCGAATTCGCGTCGCTAATTAATGCGCGATGCATGGCTTGGAGTGGGATTTTTTTCCGAGAGATTTTATGATGGTCTTTTACTTTTTGAAGTTAGTTTTTTGCATAAGAAGTGCGAATGAAACCAGTATTCTCCGAATGTACTGGTTTTCGCTAAACTTTTGTCTGTTATTTTTGTTAACGACACCACAAACTGACAACAAAATTCAGTGTAGTGTGAGAATGCACAAATCGCTTCGGTATGCCCCATCTCCGAGCAATTAGCGATCCGTCGCGCGTTTCCGTCGCTAGATACCAGCGATTACAAATCGCAACGATTGCCCCGCGACGGGTATACCCAGCCCTTAGGCCTGAAAGGCCGGGCATACTTCACGCGATTTCAGTCGCGACGCGATTTGGCAATATTCCAACTGTTCATAACTCTCTGCAAGCACATTTCATATGTACAGGAGGTAAGGCATTTTATCGATCCACGCAAGTTATACACACTATACATGTGCAGTCTGCTAGTGTTGGATCTGAAAACTTCTGGCGAATTGCCAAATCGCGTCGCGACTGAAATTGCGTGAAGTATGCCCGGCCCTTAAGGCCTAAGGCCTCGGGCAGACTTCACGCGATTTGATCGTCGCGACTCAATCGCCGACATATCCATTCATTTTCATTTCACATTCAAAAATTTCGGGCTGGAAAAGTATCACAACCGAATGCAAGTTGATCGGCATGGAATGATCTTGTAACAGTTATCTCGTCGCGATTCAGTCGCGACGATCAAATCGCGTGAAGTCTGCCCGGGGCCTAAGGCATACCTCGCGCGATTTCGATCGCTGTGCGATTCTGCACAACAGCGACTCTTCGTAATTCGTCGTTAATGCGCTGCCTTTGGTCGGATGCTCCGTTTGCAACAGCTTACACAAGCTACCCAAGTATGCGTCCGAGAAGCGCGCACGATAGAAGTGTAGAAATCTGGCAAGTCGCGTGGAAGTGGCGATGCGGCCGAATCGCGTGAGGTATGCCTTAGGCCATAAGGATTTTAAAAAGCCAGCGATGGGTTTTCTAGTTAGATAAGAAACATGAGAATGCATATGGTATGCAAAAATGTGAACGGTTATTCTGGAAGTCACTCTGCGACTTTGGGACAGATGAGACCCAACTTTAGGCACAAAGCACCTCACATTCTTTCATCATGAGGTTACCATATAAGCATTCTGAGATGCACATTGCTTTCCGCGATCTTGCAGAAACTCGTAGATCAAAATTCTGGAATGATC